TATATATATACGTGTATGTATATATATAGCTTGGGACTCTTTTAATTTAATTATTATGTCATATATATATATATATATATATGACATAATAATTATTCTTTTTTTAAATATACGAGGTATTATGATATTATGTCGTAATTAATATCTCTATTATTCTAGATGCCTCCTCCAGTCTGGAGTTACATTTTTGAGTTCGTTTTAGATTGAACTCGAAAACCGTAAAGCAGAGTCTAAAGCTGTTTCTACGCTCTTGCTATTGCTGATCACGGCGAACTAAAACTTCCAGAAATGGAGCTCTTAGCTTGCTTCATTTTGAATTTCTAGAATTTGCTTTGCAAGTTTTGAAGTTATAAGTGCAAGGACTATATCACGGATCCAAGCTAAAAACTGTTTTTAACCACTTTGACTGGCATTATGTGATAAATTAAATCTTAATTTTTAGGGCTCGTAGCTCTGCTTATTCTCGAATAGCTTGGGGACTTGAAATTGTTTTTAGACGTGTATTTCCTAAATGGTCCAGAACTACGTCAACGAAATTCAGCCTACTGGATTTTGGAATCCATGGATCCATAGTCTTAACTCATTTAACAGCAATGTATGGAAAATTTTTTGAAATTGTTACCTTGTTTTCTGCTGGTTTTCCTGGAAAAGAAAGAGCTTTAGAAGTTGAAAACGAATTATGTTAAAAAAAATCTGTTAAAGTGTGGCGGCTTAAAGAGTATTCACGTCTACTGAATTGGGTAAAAGCAGTGAATGAAATGCGGATTAGAATAGTGCAAAGAAATCGTATAAAAATCACTATTTTACTGGAGCAGGAAACCTTGTTAGTGGCAGTAGTTGTTGGCAAAGTGTTCGTTCAGATTATTTCCAAGTGCCACAGAAAGGATGGTTTCTGACTTCGAGTGATTGACGAAGTGGGCAAAAACGACTGGAAGGGAGCTTGCAACTACCGCCTGCACGACTGAGGACACCAGGAAGAAGTACCATCCCGCTGAAAGCTATCTGAACAGTAATGGCGTCTTTTGACCTCTATAAACACCGTCTAAGAAAAAGCTTCGTATATTTATATGGAGCTGGGGTTTCGGTCCTGCCAATGAGATACCTAATCCTTCAACGATTCTTTAATTCGTTTTGATGTTTAATTGGTATTGCCAGTGCACATGCCAACAAGTCAAAATAGCTCTGAAACTACTTGAAGCAACTTTTGGATGAGTAGCTACTGGCAGTCTTGTCAGCAAGCGATTGCTGTTAGCGCGTGCTACCGTTAGGGCTACTTTTGAGCATCTCCGTCTCTCGAAGAGATTAAATATTAAGGATCTTTTGAATTAATAATTTTGCGCTTTAGAGCAAAACATGCGCTGGGATTCGCAATTAGTTTGTGCAGCTATTCCTCACTGCCTGCGTGCGTCACTGAGCATTTTCCTTCCGTTATTGATGGCATGTGGATTGACGGGGCAGAGTTCGGTGATTGATACGACCAGCAATGAACGAGCATGTTCAAGCGGGAAAAAGGCATGGGTTGCTGCCGAGGCCTCCAAGCCAGACTTTTGCTACAAAAAGTCTCC